TCTCTCTCTCTCTCTTTCTCTCTCTCTCTCTCTCTCTCTCTCTCTCTCTCTCTCTCTCTCTCTCTCTCTCTCGACAGGTGTTTGAGTAATAGTTAATCAGATACGTGCGCAAATTTGATATGTGTTTCGTATGAATTCCGTTAATCTTTTGGGAAGAAGATTCACTATCCTCTGATTACCTCGGAAAAGTCAGAGACTCTAAATTATATTTTGCTTTAAGAAACTAAAAAGCAAATGTATCCAGACAACACTTACCAACTTTAATTAGTGATGATTAGTTGATATCATCACGTGTGTCTCCAATGCTGTTTTTCACCTTATCAGCATCGCGTCATTATCACTCATATTACTAACGTTATTTTGACATTTTTATCATAAAGGTATATCAAAATAGTTGAATCACATGCATCATGCGCTCCATATTCGTCCGCACATGAAAAATGCATAACCAGTGAAACGAAGCGAATTAATTGCAGCATCTGAACCTTGGTAGGGATTCGCTCATGTGTGTTTAATTACAGTGATTTGGATGGCCAGAGGTATCTAGCTTTGTCCTTCGATCCAATCAGTGTCAGTTTATTTTTATCCGCTCTCTCTCGCTTACACAGTTTATATACCTGTCACTTATTTGCGTGTGTACGTATGTTATCTACATTTTTTTCGTCTGTCTTCTGGATTTTTATCTAGCTACCTTCTAATTCACCCGACGAATATCCGTTAAAGATCAATATGTATATCAAATTCGGAATTTATATACCACAAAACTGCATCAGAGAGAGGGATATCTGTATCCAAATAATTCAAAGTCAAACTTATAAATCTCCAATATTCTTTTCATTACGTCTTTCGGGATATCCTTATAGAGGTAAATATCCGACCGGTTCGTTGTCTTCGTCTTGTGTTCTTCCTTGAGCTCTACGCCCTCCGTGTGATTCAGGAACTTCATGACGTAGTTGAACTCGGGAATGATGGACTCCAGGTGGACAATGAAATCGTATTTGTACTTGCACGGGTTGCACAGGAACACGAGAGGCGCCCAGTGTTTGTTCATGAAACCGACATCATGCGTCCAGATCACGTAGCGAAGGAAATCCTCGAAGCTGAACGAAGCGTTGCGGAAATCGCTCCTCAAACTGAAGCCGGCTTTGCCATGGGAGTTCTTCATGACCTTGTAGATCTCTCTCCCGTGATCCACGTTGGCCCAGTAAGTCGCGTTCCTGGCCCTCAGCCGCAGATTGGGTCGGAAGGGAAGCGAGCCTCGAGCCGCTAGCGCTGGGAACCAGAAGGTCTCCCACTCGTTGTACCAAGGCATCCGGGACTTGGTTTTCTGGCGCCATTCCTCGTCGTACTTGTAGAGGGGCATTCCTCCCAGAAATTTGTCTCTGATAGGCAGAGGGAGGGAGGGAGGGAGAGAGAGAGAGAGAGAGAGAAGTAATGTTAAAGAAGAATTGTTCATTTGTATATTGGAGGTATCTAGTAACCTGACCGTTCAAACATTACATAACCATTCTCAGTCCCAGCTCCTCTACACTCACCTGTACGCGGAGGCGAGGCGGGTCAAGGGATGCCTGACATTCAAGATCTGTAAAGGCGGGGAACGGCCAACCACACCTTTCGGCATCCGCAGTGTTAGACGCCGCCACGACGTAGAACCTCCCTGTTAGGGAATTACTGTATTATATATATATATATATATATATATATATATATATATATAATCACACACACCATGGAATGGGCTTCATCAAACAGAATGCACACGCACGCGCGCGCGCGCCTCCAGTCGTTTGCCTACGTTTAATGCGATGTAATTGACTATGGAGCTTCCTTTGATGTTTTCGATCTGACGATGATATGATTTGGGTGGATTTGTTTTTGGGAATTGGGAATGGGATGGCTCGCTGTCATCGAAAGGTACCAAGCCTTTAGTGACGAAACTGTTAAATATGTAGCATTGCGGGGCGGCGAGCTCGGGGGCAAACTGGCAATAATTAGGACAGGAAATTCACTTTTAATAACGCTTGTTGATGTTAGTGTATTTAGAATAGTGATCATCTTCCTCTTTGTGGAATGTTATAAATTTCTGTTGTAACACTCCGGGACAGAGTGCGTAAACAGGTCAACCGGTCGTTATATGTAAACTAGTGTGACGTAACTGCTGGTTCGGCCTTTGAACGCGAGATTGGGATGGCGAGCAGGACGACGGCTGCAAGGGTACTTGCTGGGGAGGAAGACTGCTTGACGTCAAGCATTTTGTTTTACGCGCACGGGAAGATATTTAATAAAGACAATGAGAGGCAAGTATCCTTTTTTTCTTCGCCTTGGAACCTCATCTAGTAAAATGGTTGTTGATGTAGAAATGCTCTCTGGCGAGTCGGCAAATTAACTGATTTAAGAGAGGGAAGTCACTTCTCTTGTCAGGGCTGATGTTCCTAAAGTGACTAAACCATGATTCGGGGTTTGCTTTTAATCAATTGTTTGTGATTTGGTAAATTTGGAAATGACACCTAACACCGATTTTCCGATGAACAATATACTATTCCAATAGTTCCCGTGTCTATGATACAGTTTCGAACGAATCTACGAAGGACTGGTGTCTGTCTTTTCTGTAGTGACACGGTGTCTTACAGTTTGGCCACAGTACATGCACAGGCAATACATCGTGATTTCGCAGGTATAATAAAGCGTCATTATTTCGATGGTATTTTGCCATGAAATCGAAAGTTTTCATCACACCCGATACACTGCCTAGTCACAAAGGAACCGATTTGAATTTCAACCGCCTTCTTCTAGGCCCAGCTTCTATCGTCATGATCTATTTCATATCCGATTGGTTCTATTGTCCTAGACGTTACTGTCTAAGGTCACGTCACTTTCCAGCGCAAATCTAATTGGTTCATTTGATTTCCCTCGTTTACGTGATGCGCTACGAATCCGTCCGGTTTTCCGTCGCTTTTAAAGACTTTTTGTTATTTTATCGCGGCGCTGGGAGCTCGAGGTTGCTGCGTTCCCTTTGCATGGAGGGATAAAACGTTTTCTGTTACATGTACTGTAAGGGATCGACTTCAGGAGTCCTCTAAGTTAGTGAAAGAAGATAAAGAGATACGAGCAAGATTACTCTGTAAGGAAGAAAGAAAAAACAAGGAGATATGAAGAATGGTATCAGTTTGGATTACACTCAATTGGATAATCTGTTTGATTTTGTAGATGGATGTGAAATACCTGAAAAGGTAATGACTTGTGACTTAATATATCAGGAAGTAATTAAGAATTACATTAATATGTTGATATTTCCTTTCTATCAAGTACCTTAAAGGTTGAAGTTTAGATTTTAGTAACCTTTGAGATGTTTTAGTGTGGATTCCTAATGTACAATCTGAATTTTATTCTAAGAATCACATAGTTACCCAGAAGTAGAAATAGTAACGTTATTGTCAGGGATAGGGTGGGAGCCGGTGATTTCTTGGGTTGGTGCCCTAGGTGGCAGATTACCACCACACTCATTATATATGTGTGTAATAGTGCCTATCATAAGGTATATTTGCATTTGGTAAATTCGCATTTGGTGACCTTAACTTATTCCTACCAGACCCTGCATTTGGCGACCAAGAGGTAACACTGGCGGCGTTTGGAGGCGAATTTTGCGCTAAAAACAAACAAAAGTTCCCAGAGTCTCTGTTGCCTCATGATTCAAATAGATACCCTCCCATTAGGCTAATTATTCGCAGCTGACGAATTTGCATTTGGTGAATTTTCTTCGGTAGTAATGTGAGGTTTTGGTGTGTGTGTGTGTGTGTGTGTGTGTGTGTGTGTGTGTGTGTGTGTGTGTGTGTGTGTGTGTGTGTGAATATATATACATATATATGTTCATATAAAGCAATCATTTTGATGTGATAATTAAATGAAACAAGCGAACCAACCTTAGGGGTTGCACAGACACGGAAAAATCCATTTGCCATCAGTGTAACTCTCGTCTTCCATTTGTAAGCTGCTTTGACCTTCTTAGCATTGGTCGCATTGCACTGGCTCCGCAAGTATGCCTTCCGTTGGCTCATGAGACTGGCCATGGCCTCGTCATGATTTGACCCGCTGTAGATGGCCGGGTCAAGGGTCAGACTACTGATCATGTCCTCGTCCAGTGGCCTGGCTTCAGACACATCATCGTATGCGTAAAGAAACTCCCTCTGAAAGATGAAATAGATGAATAATATTTCTATGTTTACGCGCGCGCATACACACGCACACATGCACGTTTGAGTGTGGTGAAGTCCAACAAGCAGATTCAGCTTAATAGTGCTGTTGAGGCACACCTGTTTCGCCGTAACGAAAGGAAAAGATCGAACCTTGCGCTTGAGGCTGCAGTTCATGTATTATGCAAGTATGTCATCGGAGTTTCAGGATGTTACAAGTTTATATCATGTTACTCTATATGTATCTAAATAACAGAATATCACTTCAAGCTTTTACTTACTTTATCTGCTAGGACTTCTTTTGATGCAAAAGTAGGTTTCTCGCTAGTGATTTCCTCAACAGTAAACGACTTAGAGAAGTCTTTTTCAGGCGTCGTTGACTGAAATGAAAAATGTCAGGATGAAATGAAATGACAGGAAAACTTAGACGAACTTAATATATCTAAGGTTGGGCTTAATGGCGGTTTAATGAGGCTCTAAACCCTAGCTAGGACAGTGCATTTATCTATAAAATTCTAATAACTTTGATTTTACACACGTCAAAAATGGACGATTGGGACACAATTATTTACAGATTTTTTTTTTCATTTCCATTTTTATCAACGTATCTCTAAAGTAACACTGATTTTAAAACATGAGTAATAACAAGACCCACGTATCAAATATATATATTTTGTAAAATGAACAAAATTAGTGATTTTAATTAAGAATTCGAAAGCTATTTTTTTCTCTCTCTCTCCCTCAGATCTTCCGGGAAAGAGCAATTATCACTTGGTAAAAATGCTGGTGATAAAAAATAACAGCAGGAAATATGATATGCTAAATAATGACGTTAATGCTAGTGAGTCCAGCCGGATAATCAGAGTCATTATAGTAGAACTCATGGTGAATATAATTTTTACATAATCTTGTGCAGTTTCATCATGGCAGTATTAATGCTAATGATAATATGATAATATTAGTAACGCTAATATATATTGAATTTAGTAGTAATAAAACTAATAACAGTAGCAAAGACAATAAAAAATAATAATACAGGTAATAGTAGTATTGCTATTTCAATATATATATATATACTTTTTTTGCAATTATCATTATTTCAGTTATTTCTATCGATAGCATTAATATGAAAGTAATGATACTGCCAATGGTAATAATAATAATAATAATAGCAATAACAATAATAATAATAATGATAATCATAACAGTAATAACAATGATACTAAAGATAATTGTTATCATTATTAATATCATTATCATTATCATTATTATTATTATCATCATCATCATCATCATTGTTATTATTATCACTGTTATTACTATTAGTATCCTTTTTATTATTGTTATCAATATCATTATTATCATCATTATTATTACTGTCACTATTACTACTACTACTATTATTACTATAACTATCATTATTATTATTATCATGTTATTGTTATTATCATCTTTATTATTATTATCATTATTATCGTTTTCATATGTATAATCATCATTATCATTATTGTCAATGAATGTGCTTATAACGCACTGGTTCTCATTCTTTACAATTTGACGGCATCCTGAAAATATTTTCAGATTTTCTGACACACTAAGAGCCTCTTTATTCTAATATATTCATACAAGTATTAATTAGATATGGTTATAATATTCTTTTGAAATGTATAAACTTAGTAAATTATTGCATCGAATTACTTCCAAATTAATGGGAAACTTTTGCCAGACTGAACTTACAAGTCGTGTATCACGTAGAGCAGTCAAGAGCATGTCTTTATCTCCTTATTACGAGTATCATTATCTTTAATACTATTTCACAGTATATTTTCACCAACCTAATATGTTCAACCCGAAACTGTTCACATTTTCCTAGTGTAACAGGCTAGAAACGGAGTAAATTAAGAGGCAGAAAATATCACATCAGCTAAATGTTATGAGACACGAACTGAGAACCACTGGTAAGATTACAGATAAAAAAAATCAAGTTTACGAGCTCAACATAACAAGAATTGAAGGCTTTTGGGGTAAAACGTGCCACATACCTTGTCGATGATGATTGTGCCTACGAAAACTCCGAACAAGACGAGTAAAAATCTTCTTCTCTTCATAGTGGTTCGCAAACGAGTGTAGTTCAAAGCCCGGCGAAGGTAGGGCAGGTGGACCAGGTGTTAGTAACATGAATATTACATCGAAATCTGATTTATATAACTGCTTTCGAGCAAATTACATAGTCTGGGTGAGGGATTTTCATGCTGACAGGTCATGATAATTCAACACACATATACGTTTATATATACGTATATATACATATATATGTATATATATGTGTATATATATATATATATATATATATATATATATATATATATATGTATGTATATATACATATATGTATTCATACATATGTATATTTGCATATATGTATATGTGTGTGTGTGTGATGATCACACGGAACGGCGATCACATTTATTGTTATGCTTGTTGTGACGCTTCGTTTCACCGCGGAACTCCTCGACCTTTGTTGAAAAAAAAGAATTTAAAGCACCCTTGGTTTTGAACTAAGTCACTGCCACCGTCCCATGGTGCGAAATTTACATTGATAAAGCCATACTTCATGTCATAGTGTGTTAAATGACGTGGAAAAAATATCATCTGTACCAGAATACAAGGTATGCTCAACAGCTAACCAGATTTTAGGTCTTTATCGCAGTGACGTCAATGGCAGTAATTGGCCGAGGCTTCATGAACGTTTCTCCGTTTTCTATAGTCATAGTTGTGGGTAACTCAAATAATTATGCCTTCACGTTGTCCGGGTGCAGAAAAACGCAACTGAAAAGGTATCATATAAGTTACCATAGATTTAAGAAACACGAACATGTGAGGAGACAGTGGATACAATTTTGCAAACGAGCAGACAGATTAAATCCAACCACATCTTAGATAAGCAGTCGGCATTTTGAACCAAGTGCCATCCAAAGAAATTTTAAGTACGAGTTATTTAACATCCCTGTTCCTGCATCCCAAAAGAAATTTAAACCAGGAACAGTGCCAACGCTCCATTCTCCAACCTCAGATGGTGAGTTATGCCTCTTATCCAAGGTAATAACATTTGAGTTAGGAAGTGACTATTTATTCACTTGAAATATGTTTTATACTGCTTAATTATGCCATATCTTTCGTACATATCATACATATCATGATTACCCTAGGTAATACATTATAAAAATCATTGAAATAAGGTGAACTGCAATGTCGGTATTGTAATTAATCTATATATTGCAGCACCCTGTATCCCAACTGCAAGTGTAGAGCAGAATGTGATCTCTGATGCATGTGTACATACCAGGACTTCTCATGACAAAGTTTTGCATGTAGGATTTATGTGTGCAATTAATAATTATCTGTGATTCATAATCAGGGACGATAAGCAATCTCGTAAAGCCAGGGAACTTCCCTCGTGTCAATGTGAAATACTATTGCAGAATTGTAAGCGATTTGTCTTACAGCACCCCACGTCTCAACTGCAAGGGGTCGAGCAGGATGTGACCTCTGAAGAATGGCTACCAACACACAACAACATTTCCGATGCCAAAATTATTAATACTGGTCGCGATTTTAGTGCCAGTGCTCTTGGATTTTTTTTTCTTGGTTATAATTAGTTATTCTTCGCAAACCAATTCTTAGGAAATGTCTTTTATCTATTTACCTGCAGCCCCTCGTGTTCCAAATATCCTTCTTTCCTACTTTTCCCTATCACACGCATCCTTCCTCCCTTTTCTTCACCCCCCATAAAGGTTCGCAGCTGTAAGTTCATCGTTTAAACTTTTTTCAGAGCATCCAGAAGCTACCAGCAGAAGAGATCCAATGCTTGAAGAGGAAGGCATCATCCAGAGAAAAGGGAGATTTTCAGATACTTGTGACATGACACACACTGGTAATGGCAAACTTAGTACTTCCTTGTATGACACTATCCGTGCATTAAACCATCAGCTTTCTGTGGTTAGTATGGAGAGGGATAAACTTCTTATTGAAAATAGAAAATGTCATGAACTTATTTCTAAACTTCAAGTAAAAATCAAAAATGCTTTTGACATTGTTACATCTGATGTGAAAGATAAATTAGGACCTCATTTTTCTGATATTCAAATTAAAACATTTCTTGAGGACAAACATAAAGCAGCAAAGTGGAGCGAAGATCCAAGTAGACTGGTAAATTAAAGAAGTTTGAGCACTAATGCTTATTATTATTTAAGAAACAAAGACATAATCCCTTTGTCATCAATAACTACGGTGAGTAGGTAAGATTAATGTGGAACCTGGTCTTTTAATGTCAATAGTACACATATTAAAACACAAAGTTGTGCCAAGGTTTGAGAGGATTTGTGTTTTATTTTTCGATAAAACAAGTGTATCACTAAAGTGGTCTACAGATACTGCATATGCTCCCCAAGACAAAGGTCAGTTTGCTATGATTAGGGGATTAACCAGCAGCTGGAAACAACTTGTCTACTATAGCTTTGATACTGATATGTCAAAAACATATTATTTGATCTGGTACTTAAATTAGAAAACGCTGGAATGATCATAGTAGCGATAGTTAGTAATCTTTGCCCCACCAGTGTTAGCTTATGGAACAAATTTGTTGTTGATATGAATAGCACCAGCTTCCCAAATCCAGTTCATCCAAACGGACAAATTTATGTTTTTGCTGATGCTCCTCATTCACTAAAGCTTCCAAGAAATAACTTTTTCGACTATGGTTTCCCTCTTAACAGTTCATTCAGTAATATTACTAATGACAGTGTTCAAGTGTGCAGTCTTGTGATGAGGAACACATCAGATCTTAAGACTGCCCATTATTATAATTATCATATACGCATTTAGGTGTTAAGGCAGGATGAATGTGAAGTTGGCTACACAGCCCATGTCAAACACAGCTGCCAAATCTTTGCTGTACTTTAGACAGAAAAATCTCTTTAAAAGTAAAGATTGACAGGTTGATTCATGGTTTGATCTCTATTATTCTAGGAAACCGAATGACGGCAAAGAATCAAAAGCTGCATATGGCAGCTAGAAATGCTCACCACAACCAAAACTATGAGGGTTGGATAATGAGTAGCCTGAATCCACTTCAAAAGGGTCTCATTATATCTTGTAACTCTTTGCTCGGGTTCTATGCATTGGTAAATCAGAGCTATAATATGAAGTATATCATAGCCCACATATTCAATTAAATCGGACAATTTTTTGGCTGCATTAGAAAAATGGGCATTGTACATCAACATCCATCCCCTATGCACTTCTAGCATAGAGTTTCTTTTCTTGTAGGCAGAGTTTGCACGTTATTTAGAGAGCACCATAATGTTCAGAGTGTAAATAATGACACAAATTTATCAGGACCATCCTTTTCTGTTAGAAGTTCAGATTAGCATCCGTGTGATAGTTCAGAAGACCTGAACTCTGAACTCATGATGTCTTCTATGCTTTTTGCAACACTAGGTCTTAAAGACATGGATGAACATGGTGAGGATGATGATTTACCTTATGAAGTCTAAATAAACACTGGAGCATTATACTGAGACTGAAGTACTGAGCTATGTTGTGGGTTTCATTGCAAAGAAGTTCCCTCAGTATAATTTTCTTTTCAGGGAATTTATTGAAAAGGAGACTTCGACAGATTTCGTATGTTAAACAGAGAATGGGTTAATGTCACCAACAGCAGATTTTTTGTTTAATCATTAAAGTCTGAGGTAAACTCTGCATCAAAAGTCTGTACAGAAATATGTAAATATGTGAAGTTACCACATGATTTTGTTTTTGTTGTTGTTGTTGTTTTTTTTTTGTAAAATGTAGGTTTTTATTTTCGTTTGAGAATTTTAAACAGGAACTTGACACACCCGCCAAGAAAGCAAAAAAAAAAAAAAAAAAAAAAAAAACTAAATCGGTGAAACAAAATAAAATCTGAAATAACCCTTGATTTCATTCGATTCTAACCTCAGTACGCAATCTAAATTCTAATACAGATTTATATCTAAAATAATTTGTCGATAGTTCACACTGTTTATTATTAACGTGGTTAATGTGACGGGATATTAGGGCGTTCAGTACAAATGTAAGATACCCACCATGACAGTTACTTTGTGGCATGTTTGTCTAAAGCAATTAATCTTCATGTCATCGAAAATTCATGGAATATCCTTATTTTTGTTATTATTTTTTTTTCCCCTGGTGTTTTGTAGTGAAGGGTTTCATTTGGCATGGATACTTCTTTGCCCTCTACGTAGATATAAGAGTGCCAATTACATAAGTACATACTTTCCGAAAGTTAAGTACTTTAAAGGACATGTAAAAAGAAAAATAAGAATAGTGGGTGATAGAATTTTCCCATAATGTAAACCCCACAATAAAATTTGCAGAATAATTAATACCTAAGTTTCCCGTAAACTCTGCTGTGCCTTACATTTTCTTTCGTACCCAGCGCGCGTATGCTCCAAGATATCTGTGACAGATTTCACCTAGAATAATAAAAATAAATATTGAATACAATAAAGGGTATATAGAAATGCGTAAGAAAACACAAGTTGATAAAATTCACCGGATGTAATTGCAGTGACTACAATGGCAATAGTGAAATAGGTTTAAATATTAGTATAAGGATAATCATTTTAAGTTTACAATAAAAAAAAATCACAACTGTATTCATATCGGATAAATTCAAAACCTGGTGTAAAAATATAATACAGTTCAGTTATTACATGTTGCAAGACAAGACATTCAATTTACATGTGCATTACGTATGACATTCAAATTAAGCCTATCTAATGATCTATCAATTAAAAAATAAAACACTAATACAATCTTATGAGAGAAATACTTCTATACAGGTTTACAATATAAATATATATTTCTTCTAGCATATAAATAATCGCATTCACTCAAAAACAAACAAACAAAAACAAACATGCCTCGGAGCATATAAAAAGAATCATTCTCCGCCCCCCCCCTCCCCGAAAAAAAGTAATAAAAATTAATAGATTCATTAGTGAAATAAAATAAACAAATTCATCCAAACAAACATATACAACTAAAGATAATACCAAAAACATAAATGATAGCAATAAGGATAATAAAATGATAATTATAAAGATAACAATAGCAGTAGCAGCAGTAGTAACGATAATAATAATGATAATACCATCAACAATAATAATAATAATGATAATGATAACAATATCAATAATGCTAGTAATAATATTAATATCAATAATAATGGTGATAATTATAGTAATCACAATATCTGTAATGATTATAATAAACCAATTAACCCATTGGCCGCGGTTGGCAAGAATAGATGCCATACCCACTTTGATACACGTTTATTTATTGTATTTACACCTAGATGGCTCTACAAGTTCTTAATCACCAAATAGCCAGTTATCAAGAACTACCTATTTCACCTGTTTAGCCTTTTCCTTCACTTTCGGAAAGGGTTTTTTTGTATCATCTTATTGTCAAAAATATTCTAATGACAATTCAATCATCATAACATCAGTAACAATAATAACAGCATCGAAAGCAATGATATTAATTTTCCCGCCAATTCAATGAATGGAAAAATCAGGGTCGGTAACTAGGGCCTACTGATAGACTCCTTGCCGGCTGAGTACATGTGGAGCCATCTGTAGGTAGCAAAATTCACCAAAACCAACAGGGGACAGAACATAAATCCGTGGCCAATGGGTTAATCAACCAAGAAATTAATGTTCTGAATTACCTATTTAACAGCGGCGTCCTTAAACAGACTGCAGTCATGATGATGAAGATTGAACTTACAATGGAGATGAGGATCCATATTTCAAGCTTTTGCCCCGCCGGTTCGTTCGCTATGAAAACTAGGGCCACGTTTGAGTAGGAGCTGTAGGGCAAGAGGTCGTTATAGAGAAGATGCCGGCATATTGAGGGTTCGTAGAAAATGATTCGAAACAGGAAGAGAAAGAGAGGGAAGGATTTATATGCTGACATGTTTGTGAGTAAGTTCGCATTTATGGATGTTTGTATACATGTATGTAGATAAGTATGTGTATATACGTACATATGCACGTGCTGCAAAAGTATTTATGTACAAACAAACACACCTTTTGACTAGCATGTTACCTTACCTCAACTTTCCAACATTATCTGATGCTCGCAGCGTCAGGTAATACACCTTTTCAATTTCAATGCTCTCTTTCAAATCCAGCGTAGCTTTAACCGTTTCACCGGCGTCGACATACAGTTCCGACTTCTGTACTGAATCTTCAAAAGTCAGAAGGGTCGTGTACTCGGCATCAACGTCAAGTAAGTCGCTGTCATTACTGCTTAGGCGGATTTCGTACCGGGACACTGTTCGAGAAGGACACTTGGATTAGCACGTATTATGGATTAACGCGTGTTATGAAAGTGGAGCCTCCTGATTATGACTCCCGATTATACCTACGTATCCCCCCTCGTATCCCCGCGTGCAATATCTCATTCTTTAAAATCAAGTTGTTGATATCACCGCATATTCAGACAATATATCACCATAAAATAAATAAGTTAAGATGCATGAATAAGATATAATATAATATGATAATATATGTGATAGATGAATAATGTGATGATAATGTAATAGAATGATAAATTAAAAAGCTAAATGAATTAAAAGATAATACAGAATGAAAAAAGACATTCGTTATAGGCAGCACTCTCACCTGTTCCCGAATCGAGGTCATCGCCAGGTGCAGTCCAGGTGAGGGTGAGACTGGCATGTGAGGTTCCAGCCACCTGAAGATCTGTGACGCGAGAGGGCGGGAATGCATCACCAGTTTCCGGGATTTTGGTCACCTGTAATAAACGTTCTTGATTATCTACGCCTTGGAGATTGGCGTGGAATAAAAAAAAATGGAACAGTTATGAGGATTGGTAAGTTCAGAGCACTGAAACTGTTAGCATTCGGCTTTGTATGTTGCCACCCTACTACCACAAATGTCGAACAAGGAGTCAGTAACACATTCTAAACCTTAATGATAAAGAAACTGAAAAATAAAAGAAATAAAAACATCAAATTCAATCCCAAAGAAATTCTCACCTGAATGGATCCGGCGGCGACAAAGCGGCTGAACTCCTCAGCATACTCGGCTATCTCTGCGTTGAAGGGAACTTTGGAGCCACAGCAGTATATCGGCATCTCTGCGTTTAGGATACTCCAGGTTAGGACTATTTAGAAATGATGGAAATTTTCTTATTGCTTGTTTTGTGCCGCAAGAGCATGGAGTATCGGGGTATCTATTATTAATCAGGTATGTGAAGCTTTTGATTTAAGGGCATATTTTACTCTAACTTCATTCACTCCAAGATCAATGCAGGGAAGAGACATAGGTTAGTAGAAGTCCACAGGCGAAGGGAACAGGGCAATGATAAGGTCTCTTCACAAAGAAGCCAAACCTGTTTCCACCAACCAAATCATTAGATGGATGCTTGTAAAACTCTGAGTTACTGGGAAAGTAGTGTGTGTGTGTGTGTGTGTGTGTGTGTGTGTGTGTGTGTGTGTGTGTGTGTGTGTGTGTGTGTGTGTGTGTGTGTGTGTGTGTGTGCGTGCGTGCGTGCGTGCGTATGCGTGTGTGTGTGTGTAAGGAAATTAAAATATCATGAGAGGGAAATTCAACCATGCATTTTAGTGAGGACGATGCTGTCCAGAATCAACCCTCCATTATTCCAAGGAGGGTCAGTTCCACTCAGTGCCAAAGCAAGCAACGTACTCACCAAGTGGCTTAGCCGTAAAAACTCTAGCGTGGCGTCGGTGAGGTGCGCGGTTGGCTGTGAATCCGTTGTTGATGAAGGCGCTGCCGTTGTTCCATGCCTGGGAAGAAAAAGGATAGACTAACTTTTGTGTGTGTTCTTCTGATGTCATGATCAAGGTCAAGTAAACAGAGAAATTTGTCATAGTCTATAACATGATCTACAACCGAAATGAGAGAATAACCCTTTACGGCAAAGTTATCTTGAAACTAACGGCATAACACCATCAATTCAATTACCATGGCAGGGTCCATGGCTTACCTCAGCTAGGGACACTTTTATGGTCCAACTCACGATAAGAGGCTCAAAGGTCGCTGTTTCTACTCGGGTTCCATCAGGTCGCACCAGGTATGGGGGAGACACAGTGTGCTCCGAGGCGTTTGTCTTCAGCTGAAAGAGCATGTCGCGTCCTATTGAGGCATCGACGAGGAATTCCTTATTTACTTGCTTATCTGTTCCACTGTAAGCATGTATCTGAAAAAATAAAAGAAATAAAAACATCAAATTCAATCCAAAGAAATTCTCACCTGAATGGATCCGGCGGCGACAAAGCGGCTGAACTCCTCAGCATACTCGGCTATCTCTGCGTTGAAGGGAACTTTGGAGCCACAGCAGTATATCGGCATCTCTGCGTTTAGGATACTCCAGGTTAGGACTATTTAGAAATGAAGGAAATTTTCTTATTGCTTGTTTTGTGCCGCAAGAGCATGGAGTATCGGGGTATCTATTATTAATCAGGTATGTGAAGCTTTTGATTTAGGGCATATTTTACTCTAACTTCATTCACTCCAAGATCAATGCAGGGAAGAGACATAGGTTAGTAGAAGTCCACAGGCGAAGGGAACAGGGCAATGATAAGGTCTCTTCACAAAGAAGCCAAACCTGTTTCCACCAACCAAATCATTAGATGGATGCTTGTAAAACTCTGAGTTACTGGGAAAGTAGTGTGTGTGTGTGTGTGTGTGTGTGTGTGTGTGTGTGTGTGTGTGTTGTGTGTGTGTGTGTGTGTGCGTGCGTGCGTGCGTGCGTATGCGTGTGTGTGTGTGTAAGGAAATTAAAATATCATGAGAGGGAAATTCAACCATGCATTTTAGTGAGGACGATGCTGTCCAGAATCAACCCTCCATTATTCCAAGGAGGGTCAGTTCCACTCAGTGCCAAAGCAAGCAACGTACTCACCAAGTGGCTTAGCCGTAAAAACTCTAGCGTGGCGTCGGTGAGGTGCGCGGTTGGCTGTGAATCCGTTGTTGATGAAGGCGCTGCCGTTGTTCCATGCCTGGGAAGAAAAAGGATAGACTAACTTTTTGTGTGTGTGTTCTCAAAGGAATGCTTGGCAGTCTCAATAAGCCCCCATCAATGCTTCTCCTCTTTTCAGGGTCAGATATTATTAAAAAGAGTAATCATGCTAGTAGCTCCACGAGAAGGGCACTGTGAAAGAGCTCCCTTACCTGAGCCCTGACAATATATCTGCCGGTGGAAGGGTACTGCGTGAGGTAGCGGGAGTAAATACCATCACCAGCCTGAGAGTCAGCACCTTGGCCATTGTCCAAGAGATCCAGCTCCATCGCCTCCTCTGGGATGCTTATGTGGTCAATGTACGCCCTGTGTGGAGCACGTAGGTCTGTGATGCAACTTGCTTTAGGTATCACATGCACACATAGCACAGTAATCAGACTTGATGGCAGCAGAAACATTAATCTTGCACTGTATTCTGTTATAAAGTGCAATGACATGAACTTTATTTACACATCGTATACACTTTGTTGGTTACAATGCCTAACTATCCTTACCTGACTGTTGCACCAATAACAGGGTTGCTGCCCTGTTTCACTTCTGCATATACAATAACTGGAGAAACAGTTGCATCAACACCACTTGATCCGGAACTTGTCTGTGGAAGCAATCAGTTGTTTATCCATTCAGGATTAAAACTTTGAGTGTATATAGAGACATAAAGAGGAATAAACTTTTGTGTCTACTGTTCCTTAGAACATACCCAAGCTCGCGTGAAGATAGGTAGGATGTCTGGGTTTCTTGCCTTGGCTGAAACGTCTACTTGGATGTAACTGTTATTGTTGCCTGACATATTGGCTACCCACATCCATCTTCCTGGCTTTGGGGGGATGAGAAATGACATTATTCTGATGTCATGATCAAGGTCAAGTAAACAGAGAAATTTGTCATAGTCTATAACATGATCTACAACCGAAATGAGAGAATAACCCTTTACGGCAAAGTTATCTTGAAACTAACGGCATAACACCATCAATTCAATTACCATGGCAGGGTCCATGGCTTACCTCAGCTAGGGACACTTTTATGGTCCAACTCACGATAAGAGGCTCAAAGGTCGCTGTTTCTACTCGGGTTCCATCAGGTCGCACCAGGTATGGGGGAGACACAGTGTGCTCCGAGGCGTTTGTCTTCAGCTGAAAGAGCATGTCGCGTCCTATTGAGGCATCGACGAGGAATTCCTTATTTACTTGCTTATCTGTTCCACTGTAAGCATGTATCTGAAAAAAATAAGTCCGATTTTAAAAGGTAGCGTTTGGATGTCTGTGTTATATTTAAACTGCAGTGAATCAAATATCAAAGGGGAATTATACTTATATATATATATATTTATATATATATATCAGAGATCCACCTGATAATGACAACAGAAAAAGGAAGCCAATCTGGTAATAATACACACCCTGACTTTGGTGTCAGCCACATAATCTCCAGGTTGGTATGTGAGCGCCCCAAGGAAGGCATCGAGAAGCTGGCTATCACTGTCTGTATCAACTACTGTATATGTTTTCCCATCTGTCAGCTGGGCAATCTTCTCCAGTTGCTGGTCTGCTTCTGCCCTGTAGGACAATAAGGAAAAACGAATAATGAGAAATGACACCTTGGGGAAAAGTTGTGCTCAGATTAATGAGATTTATAAAGGAATGCGTATATGTATGTATGTGTGATATATATGATATATAATGATCAAAATATTGTCACCGACCCGAAAGCGATAGTAACAACTCGGATGCCAGATGCCGCCAACTGGTCCTCGATGTCGTGAATGTGGGGAGATTCGTTTTCTTTGCCGTCAGTAATGAGCAAAATCACCGCATTCTTTTCTCGATTCAGCATCTGTAAATCACCATGAATTTCATGACAATCCTGATCTAACAGAACGTACAACCAAACAAATAATTTTGTTTAGCATAGCTGGTTTTTAAGAATATTTCCATTCAAAAGATGCCTTGATATGTCCTTTATAAAACCCAATTCTGCTCAGAACAAGGCCCCCGAGCAGAAACTGTTCCTCATTAACCCATTCACTGCTGCAACATCAGAAAGAAATGACGTACCTCGTCCATGGCGAGGGACAGCCCTGCTCCTATACTGGTGTTCGACATGACTTTCGTATCTATACGATCGGCTAGCTTTTTCCGGGACGCTTCGCCCTTTATTACTGTAAGGGGAGCTTCTAAATTCGCCTTCTCTCTACAATGAATGAAATTCAAATATGTATATATATATATATATATATATATATATATATATATATATATATATATATATATATGTATGTATGTATGTATATATACATACACAAACAACTTATCTATTTCGGTCATAGGGTTTTGCCGTGTGTATACAGTAACTGAGAGTTGTGCCCAACCTCTCTTGAAACCGACCTGAACTTGATGATGCCCACGGAGCTGCCCTCAGCCACCTCGTGAAGGATCCAGCGTCTAGCCGTCGCCTGGAGCTTCTTAATCCTGTTGTAACTCCACATACTGTTGGAGTAGTCGAGGACCAGCGCGAATTTCGCCGCCTCCTGACGCAGCACCGTGAATGTGGTCGGCGAGGCGGTCTGCGTTTGTGGGTTGCTGAGGGTCAAGAATACATGCTTAGAGATTCTTTTTGTTCGCTCTAAATCTATCAAGTAATATTTTATTTAGGAACATTTGATTTTCAATATCTACAGGGGCACTTGAAAAAAAATTAATACTCACTTGTCGTCTTTGAAATCGGGATGCGACTCTATTACCGACCACACGGAACGGAGATTACATTTATTGTTATGCTTGTTTGGTGCCATCAAGTTGTGATGCCTCGTTTCACCGCAGAACTCCTCGACCTTTGTAAAAAATAAAAAATAAAAAAAACGTACCATGGCCAATCCACCTATAAATTTGTACCACAACCACTTTTCACACCTAATCTTGCCGACAAACAAGAAAACGAACCACTAATTCTGTCATCGATAAAGGAAACAAAGGCCTCTCCTTTCTAAGACACTCTACCCGGAAGCCCTTACGCTTGCAATGTAGTAGAGGGACATGAGCGAGGAGACGGCGTCTTGGTCATCGTCAGGAATGAAGCGGCAATTCTCGTCTGGGAGATCGCCAACGTACGAGCAAGACGACCCCGTGATGTCTCTGTGAGTTGATGGAGACAGTGCGGCATTATAAACAACGATGAGGATTATATGAGTTGTATGTCATGTGAGAAAAGTAAGATATCATGTAATATTAAGATATTATGCGAAAAACTCAGGTCTCAAATGAACAAAAAAGTTAATTATCATGTGAAAAAGAAAGATATGTGGAAAAAATATCATATGTTAAAAAAAAAGATTAAGATGTGTGGAAAGGGAAGACATGATTTTTTTTAAAGTAATATATCATATGAAAAATATAAGATATGCAAAAAAAGTGAACTATACATTCATAAAGTGATACTGCATTACATGCTTTATTACATGCTTTAAAAAATCTTCCGTACCTAAGCTTTCCCAAAAGTTTCTTGTCGGCACAGTGGTTTGGAAGGGCTATGACTTCGACCTTGTCTCCAACTATATTTTGGGATGCGTAGAAGAGGGGATACATCTCATCATTCGGATACCCAAATTCATCGAACACTCCCCAGCGTAATTTGGCCCACTCGTGAACCAAAACCTTGCCTGTAGAGAAAGTACGATAAAAAAGGCCTCATCCGAAGAAAATTCCAGAAAACAACAACCAAAATGTATAATCATATTTTCCCTTATGTTCATGGCCTCCCATTATCATCTCAACACCCTGTCAATACCCTATCAAGAACGGTATCAAGTATTATCGAGTCAGATGCTTACTTCTTGGTCCCCAGACGTCTGACTCCTTGTCATCGACCAGGTATTCGGGAGTAAGATGAATGTACAGGCCGGGATCGCCACAACCTCCGGGCTGCTCTGTGTGGGGTTGGTTGCCGTAGATTCTCGAACCGACGTCTACTCTGATGTGGCTCTCCTGCGTGGAACGTTGGAGGACGGTGCAGCTTAGAAATCACGCGCTTTATGTAAGAGCAAAAAAATGGTCTTGTTGGTGTGTGTGTGTGTGTGTGTGTGTGTGTGTGTGTGTGTGTGTGTGTGTGTGTGTGTGTGTGTGTGTGTGCGCGCGCGCGTGTACGTGTGTGTGTGTGTGTGCGCGCGTGTACGTGTGTGTGTGTGTGTGTGTGTGTGTGCATGTGCGTGTGTGAGTGAATGTGTCTGTGTCAAAAGCCAGTGTGCGTGGATAAAGGATCACTCCGAAAGTCTCTTACGTCGAAGTTCTCTTTGAGGGCGACTGCGTCAGATGGCGTCTTCGTCCAGGTCTTCGGCAGGAGGATCTTGACGTCCCTGAAGAAGGCCCTCTGATGAGTAGCCTTGAACAGCACCTCGGAGGCGTCGCTAAATGTCTTCTGCAGGAGAGCCACAAATAATGATTAGTTATGTTGTTTTGAGCTTCATGTGAAAAGAATCGTTCATTCATCCCCTTCTTTGTCAACTTGTCTTATCGTTTCTCTCTCTCTCTCTCTCTCTCTCTCTCTCTCTCTCTCTCTCTCTCTCTCTCTCTCTCTCTCTCTCTCTCTCTCTCTTTCTCCCTTTCTCTCTCTCTCTCTCTATCTATCTATCTATCTCTATCTCTCTCTCTTTATCCCCTTCCCACTGATAAAACATTTTCTCTTCGGCGTACCTTGATCGAA